TTCGTAGATGGTTCCGGAATTGACTAATCTGGAGCGGTTTGCCAGAATTAGATTTTGTGGGATGTCCAATGTCCCAGATATCCTGTTCAGCCTGGATTGTGAACGCGCGCTCCTGCTTGACCGACAGTTCGGACTCGGCGCCAAGGGGCTGGACTCGCCGAGACATGCTGGGACCTTTGTGAACCGACGGAATGGAAAAATGACATGGCGGGCTTGGTTGATGCGAGAACGGGAGGAGATTGATCGATTTGGGCAAATCAAAAGATTCCGGCCCAACTCGATCATTCGCGTCTGATGTAGGCCGTCGTGGCTGCGTCAGGATCGGTCAGTTCGGCTGTGTTGTAGTGCGACTTCACGAGACTGCCTCCTCTCGGCTCAGCAAGATGGCCGAGTGATTTGTCAGAAGACGATCAGACTTCCCTCGGGACGAGATCAAATGTCACTGGCTCCACTTCTCGCAGAGGTTGACTCGGATCGTCGGGCCAGCCACGAGACGGAATTGCCCACCAATGAGCAACGCCTCCGGCGCACAAAATGGGACAAATCTGCGTATAGAAAAGCGATTGTCGCGAGGCAACTGCCCAAATGCCCGGGTCCCATCATTGCCTGGTGGCTGGTGGCCGAGTTCATCGACGGACTGACCGACTGTGGCCGAGAAGTGGATGAGGCGATCGGCCAACTGTTGCCACGCACCGACACCGACGAGTTCTTCTTTCCCTTCCTCAATAGCGCATGTGCAGCCCTGGCCGGTCTGTTCGAGGGTTTGATGAGCCGACCGACCTACGGTCAACTAACACACTACACCGTCCGTTGCCTCCTCGCCCACTGGAGTATGGTCTGTCGGGTCCAGTTGGCTCGAGCCTGTCTCGTCTGCCTGCATGGGACGACCGGTGCCGGCGGCCCCTCTTCACGGCTCACCATGTCCGAGTTGATCAGGTGTCTGGTTGTCATGGCGCAGGCCAAGCAGACGACCCAGTTGGTCGAGGCAACCACGGCATGTGAGACCAGCGTCCACATGGTCATTGAGATGGGTCAATTCACTTCGTGTCGACCCTTCATCGCCCGACAGGTCTACATGCGAATAGCTCGTCTCCTGCAGACTAGAAGGACACGGAGGACGCGATGTCATGTCGCATCTGCGCCAGATCATGTTCTGGACTGCATTGTCCTTCTTGAGGCGGAGGCGACGTCTGCCGGCCGGCGTCTCGACAATCTGAGGCTGAGTGTGAACAGGCTGCTGAGGATTGAGTTCTCAGGTGAGCACGATGAGACAATCTCGTGTCTGTCGGATCAAAGTGAGCTGGAGATGATGAATGAGCTGAAAATTATGACATTAGAATGGGTCATCTCAGCGGTTTCAGGGCTCATGGCCTCTTTTCTCCTCTGTCTACTCCTCTTTTGGATGTATCCTTACGTTCAGAGTGGACTTCAAAAATTGGTGTTTGAAATTCTCGGGTTTTCGAGGCCCCTTTGGTCAGTTTGCACAGAAACCCTGGTCTCCATGCTTCTGATGGCACCTTTGTCAGTACCCATTTATAGTGAACTGCGTCTGCGTATCTCAAACCTGTTCGGGGGGATTGTTTTAGCCTGGAAACTGACCCGACCAGTCATGGACAGGGTGCACTTGGTTTCAGAAATCCTGAAAAAAGACTTACTGGCTTATTGGAACATTCTTAGCCATCACCGCAAGCGAATACAGACTCTGTATTCCCGACTGCTATTGAGACTTTCTGCCGAAGGATTTTAAGTCATTTCATTACATTCGACAAGCTTTCAATTATGAAAAAATGCATTTTTTGCTGAGTATTCAACTCAATTGTCAATTACTTTTCTATTGCCCAGATCTTTGGGAAAAAATGGAAATAGTCATTTTTTTAGCCAACTGAAACTATTAAATACTTGATTTTACCTAAATGTAATTGTCAATGTATATAGCTGGTAACTTATCATTTATGCAACACGAAATATGGTGATAAGAACACATGGCAGAAACTGGACATGAGAAAGAATGGTCTGAACAGACTAGGTTTGCTGATTATGGTACGTCTACTATTAAATATAAGAGAGGCGATTGGTATTAATAGATTAGGGAATTCGCTAAATCTAAGGAACAGTGATAGAAAGTGGAAGATGAACTATTTAGCCCTGATTGATTGATTGAAAGAGAGAGCATGTTGAGCCGCCATCCAAAAGAAGGTGACTCAACTGGTCTGCTCAGTGATGCTTCTAACTTCACTCACTTGTCCAATGTGTTAGATTAAGGTCATCAATCAAACCAGACGTGCCAGATTACGCATCCCTAGTCGTTCCACTTCACGGTTGGTTAAACGTTAATGTAAATACGAAGAGAAACTGGGTTTCGATTAATCTTCTTAGATAACATTGTTATGGGGACTTTCATTTCGTATAAAATTGGATGAAGAAGAGATTCGTTCGTCGATCTCACCAGATGAGGACGGATGAATCTGGTTGTACTGCAGCCAATTGGCTTTTATACCATATCCATTATATGATGGACGAAAGCTCAGTCCGTTTTCACCAGAAACTAGGAAGAAAGTATCGTGGACTGCGTCAACAGGAACATCGTATAAAAGCCAAATGGCTGCAGTACAATGAGATTCATCTGTCCTCATTTGGTGAGATCGGCCAACTAATCTCTTCTTCATGCACTTTCATACGAAATAAAAGTCCCTCCAATAAACGCTAATGACCCTAGACTAAGAGTTTAGGACAAGTGGCTTCGTAACTTGACTTGCATGCTTACAAGCTTACATCTCATTATCTCAAGCATACAATTAAACTAAATAGGGTAAATACAACTAATATATTTGATTTACTGGTAGTCTCGAAAACCTACTCACTTATGAAAATAGTAATCTCGTCGATTGCTATAGCAAATATAAGTTTGCTTTATCGACAATCTCAAAACAAAATGTGATATGGAAGATGCATAACATTCATTGAAATTCCCATCTGCCAAATGACCA